CTCAAAATCTATTCTTGTTTGTGTAGAACACTAGATTAAAAAAAAAATGAATAATTTCATTAGAGTTATCAAAGAAGAAATCAAAGGATTATGAATTTTGAATTTCGCAGATATATGTGTTAATTATATATATTCAAGGATGTGTAACTTCAACGAATCTGATTATTGATGTCACTATATATTTACTCATAAATATCCTGATATTCAATTCCTCTTGATTCTTCATTAAGACTCATAAAACAGCAAGATATGGCAGAGGAAAAAGTGTATTATTGTAATTTCCAATTGCCTTAGCAGTATTTACTTACTAATCACTGCTGTTATGTTTTTTTTGATTTTTGATCTGCATGCCAATAAAGAACATGTTGCTATGTTGAAATTTTGTATCATCACCTGAAATCATTGCAATTGGAATAACCAGATCCACTATATGTTGACTATGCTTGCAAAATACTGCTGTCCTATGAAAAAAAATTTAACAAACATTTCTCTATTAGGTGTAGTATTAGTATATGCAAAGTAATTAAATCTTATCTTGCTATTACAGAACATTAAACCATTAACAGTTTTATTGAGAACTGAATTAATTTCCTTATAGTATCCTTTTTCAATAAATGCATTGAGAAACTCTTCTATCATGATTAGTTGTAAGTATTTGTTCTATTTATCTTAAAGCTGAGATTTTAATTATCAAATGCCATTAAACACAGAATTCACCTATCAAGTTCATATTACTTATTTATCTGCATAGATAATAATATGATTTTTAAGTGAATAAATTACATCATCTAAATTTTTTTTAGGATTCTAGGATAGCTCTAGCTGCTTCTGCTAATATTGGCTTATTTAAATATGTAATAATTAATGATTCACGTTTATCATCTATATATCATAAGATTTTCATATGATGACTAACTAATTTAGATGCTTGTTGTAAAACTCTAGAAATTTCAAATAGACTTGTATTTCAAGAATTGCTAATGATTGTTCTACTGTTAATTTTATTAATTCAATGTCTCTATTTTTATTGATTTTAACTGCTTTGTTATAATCATATAAAAGCTTTATTATAGCAAATTCTATAATATAAAGCTCTTTAATATTTGTCTATAAATGGTATTCCATATTATGTATCTGCTGTATTGCTAAGGTAATTGTAATTTTAAAATTTTTTGGTTAAGGCATTTAATAATCAAAAGTGTCAAAATGATAAAATAGTTTGTATAATTATTATTTTTCTAAAAATATTCTATATGATAAATCATTATGATTAACAAGTAAAAAATTTGAAATTTTTCTGTGAAAAGAGTCAGAAATAATAGCCTTTGATTTTAAATTCATATGAAATATGCTATAATGCTTTTCTTATATAAATGAAAATTATTCTTTCCATTTGAATTGTTGTGATCAATCAATATGTAAACTTTATTAAAGCTAATAGTATTTTCAATTAAGAATTTTTCATTTTATCTAGAATAAGTATTAGCTTTATATATACTTCCTCTAATTTTTCTATTTTTAAAGTATCTTGTAATTCTATTTCTTTTATCATACTCCTTCAAAATATTCTTACATTTCAAACAGTTTAGCATCATTTCTATTACTAATAAAAATGTCAAACATATAACCACATATTTTGTTTGAATATTACATTTTAAGTTACTCTAATAATTCATTACATATCTTAAATAAAGCTAAAAAAATCTTATATAATAAGTTTTAATCATATGCTTCTTTGGTTAAATAGTTAACTATAATTAAACAATTTAGGTAACTATATTATTTAGATTTATATAGACAAATATAAATTATTAAACTATTTTTATTAGTTATTAATTCTCATAATAACCTTGATTTTTCTGTCTCATTTGTTTATATAAATAATATATAAAAGAAGTAAAATTTATTTGATTTTCAACTTTTACACATCATCTAATAATTTAAAAAGATATTAATATAATTCTTTCTAGATTTATTTAATTCTCTTCTAAATACTATTTTCAATTTAATATAATTTTCTCTCATTAATATTTATTTTTTATAAACTTCAAATTTCTTTTTTTTGAATAGATCATTACTATATGCTATACATATAGTATACAGGATCTTAATCAAAAATGTGATATTTCAAATTAAATAGTATTTATAAATACTAAATAAAGAATTGGATATTATTTTAAGAGGATACAATATATAGAAGATATTGTATATAAAAGTTACAATTATACAACTTTAATAAATAAATATTAAAAAAAAAAATTTATTTTCCTTCTCTAGCTGTTTCTTATTGTATACATAGCCTTCAATACACACTTCAGAAATATTAAGGAAAACTTAATACTTTTCCTTTCTTTATATAAAAATTATGGAAAATGTTCAAGCAATAGAAGAAAATATTATATAAAATGATATTATAGAGGAAGCCTCAACTTCCTATGTTGATAACATTATGCTTCTAAATTCTGTTTTTTCAACTTATAAAATTAAGTAATCTATTAAAAAATCAAAGTTAGATTATAATAATAAGAGAATTTCTGGATGTAAAAATTAATACTTCTTTTTGAGTTATAGTTTAGCTTATGATATCCCCTTAAATAATTTGTCTTATGATAAAAAAAAGATGCAAAAATTTTTAAATTTAAAAATTATTAACAACTATTAGTATTTTAAAAAATGTCAAGAGAAAATTTTCACATATTACAAACTATAAATTTACAAAATCAACATTGATAATGAAATACTAGAGAAAAATTAATGGTTATATTTTATCATAAAAATAAATATAGTGTTCAAGTTACTGCAAATAAATATAATATATAACTAAAATAAATTCGTGATTAGAAAAATAAGAAAAATAATTTAATATATGTAGCTTTATATATTCAACATCTTAATACTAGTATAAGGTCAAAATATTCACAACTTAGGATGAAGCTTTTGAAATAGTTTCATAAGTTAAAAAGTCAATTAAAAACTGTAATTAGATATATAATTAGTATAAAAGCTCATAATTTAGCTAAAAAACAAGAATATTTTACCTTATATCCTAATATTCATAAATGTCAATTTCTTATAAATAGATGAATGAGTTTATGTCTTATCATTTTTTAGTAAATCACTAACATACTACAGTTGTATAAAGATTACCTAAAGAATATAATGAAGAACAACAAAGTTTTCTCTATATATTCTTTATTGAAAAATCGAACATAATTATCCTTTAAATTTAATTGATAACATGAATAAGATATCTATGGCATTTAATTTACTAAGTCAGAAAACTATTAAAGAGCATGAAAAGAGAATTTTTTAATTCTTATAATAGAATATGAATACATCCATTTTACAGTAAATCTTGCTTGTCTTATATAGGAATAGTAACAGTCAGTCATGATCAGTCAATGATCAATTAACGGTCAGTCAGTTAATTGACTGACTGGTTGACTGACTATTTAACAATAATTTTTACTTTTAAATATTCTAACTGTCTTTTAAATGTTCTAATTGTATATATAGGTTTTAATTTTAATTATAATAAATAATAATTTAAAAATTAATTTTATTTTCATCAATCATTTTGATAGGCATTATCATGAAAATTTTTAAATATTTTAAATATTTTATTTAATTTTTATAAATACATTTATTCTTTTAAAATATTAAATTCAAAATAATTTATTTTATTAAATCTATATAATATTTTGTGAAATCTAACTATATAAATATAAACATGCTCTTACAGTATCTTCAGATAAATGATTTGCGATTTATATAAAATATGATCAGTAATTAAAAAGTTGTTTACATAGAACTGAACTTGCTTAAATATATAATTATTCAAATGCAAATTTTGATAAATTAGAATATTTGGTAGAATGAATTTTCTACTAATCTAAAGGTTTTACATCTTCTTTAGCTTTAGCAGAATCCAATATTTATTAACTTCGTCATCTGCATTTATAATAATAGAATTTATTCCTTTTAACTTCTTTAAAAAGCTTAAAACTTTTTTATTGATATAATAGGAACTTCTTGTTGTTGTTATTGCTCTAATAGATTTCTAATTAGTGATTGTATTTCATAATTTGTCATTTCTGGAAAACAATATTTTTTATATCTAGGATCTAAAAAGGCTGCAATATGAGATATTTCATCTAATTTATTATAATAATTATTAAATTTTACTAACATTACCTTAACTATATCATTTAATAAATAATCATTACCATAATCAATTTTTAATTGCTAATAAAATTACTCTTAAAAATACAATAGTAAGATATTTTTGTGATGAAAGTTTAATCATTGCTTCATTAAATTAATATAAATTGGTCTAAATCTTTAAACAATTCCCATTCAGATTTATTTGAAAAAAATATCTTTTAATTTAGGATTTTTAACTAATAATATTTGTATATTTTCTTTTAAACTACATGTACAATTAATTATTTTAAAGGTTAAATTCCATCTTATTTTATAATCCATAATTAGATAAAGAAATTGTTTATTATTTAACTTTGCAAAATTTTCTAATTCTTCAAGTAATTTAGTTGATTTTTAAATTGTTTTTATTAATTTTCTTAAATTTTTAATATGAGTTAATACAGTTTTCAATCCAGCATTTACAACAATATTAAGAATATGAGCTACACATTAATATGAATAAAATTATTTAATATTTTTGATTTTAAAATATTTGCACTGCAAATTATATTACTACTATTATCATTGTTATTTCTAAAATTTTAGTTTCTAATTCAAATTCTACAAGTATATTATAAATTTTATCAGTAATTTCATTACCTGAATATTGACTTTTGAA